GTAGGTTTTTTTTTCTTTTCACTAAATGACCCATTTTTGTGTTGATGGGTTTCTCCTTTAGAGGTGGGGTCCAAAAAGCTGTACTTGCCCAAATTGTGTCAATAGGAGCCCTAAAAACAGTAGCAGTTAATAACCTATATATATATAAACAATACAAATGTATAATATATGCCATTTTTTATATTGTTGTGTTGCCCCTTTGAAGTGTTTAATTTTCTTAGTTCTAAGTCATTAGGTCTTTGTACATGTGAAAATCTGAAGTTGAAATGTTTCCTTACAAAATTCTCTGACTCCTCCCCGTGGGGGAGGCAGAGTGTTTTCCAGATTGCCGTCCCGGATTGGACGACGGGCTAGTGGGGGAGTTGGAGGAGTGACGGGCTCCGCTCTTCCCGGGGTCAGGCCGGGAAGGGGTGTCGGAGCTGTCCTCCTCCATTGGTTGGTGGTGGGGTAGGGGGGTGTCTGCTGGAGAGAGAGGGGGAGGTGGAGCAGACGGAGGGAGCTGGGAAGAGGGGGGAAGGGTGCACCTCACGCTCCATCAGAGGGATGAGGCGTGAGGTGGAAGAAGAAGAGGAAGTGATAGGGGAGGGGGAGGAGAGAGGGCGGAGGGAGAATCCACCCTGTCCTCCCATAGAACCTCAAAGCGGTTTGTCAGAGGTATCACGGTGGAAGGAAGAACCTTTTTAGTTTTAGTCACAGAGACATGCCTGTTGACCTTGGGCTTTGGGAGGTCAGCAGTAGGAGGACTTGCCGACCTCGTGGCTTCCTGTGCTACCTTGGCGTATGACCGGTCAGGGACCGGGGTCACAACTGGCGGGCAGGTAGCTTTGCGGGCTTCCTGAAACGGGCAGCCATTTCGTACTTTACACTCTTGGATTGCGCGTTCTTGGATCCAAGTTGGGCAATCCTTACTAAAGGCTGTGTGCTGGCCGTGGCAATTGGGGCAACAAGGACTAGCCTTCTGCACGTCTAAGACCAAGTACGATGCCTGAACGGTGGCTGGAGGGCGACACGAATCAAAGGTCAGGATGACCGTGTTGGTTTCGAGGGTGGTCTCCCCCCTGTCGGAGAGTAATCCGGCGGGCGTGGGTCACACCTTCGCAGTTCGCCACAATTTCCTCCATGCTGCAGCCCTTTAGATCATGGCTGCGGACGGCGCCCTTCGAGCAGTTCAACTTCTGGTATCGTTCGGAAGTACGTGGAATACTGCCGAAGGTTGTGATGTTCATCATAAGTTAGGCCACTTCAGTCTCTGTTGCGCACTTGACAAGGAGTACACCAGAGGACAGCTTCTGGACATGTATCCCAGAACTTGTCGTAGTGCATCTCCCGTCTTGAACAGATTCAGATCACAATGATCTTCTTATGTGCGTCTTCATTGCCGCTGATGGCCACGTACGGCTGCTTCGGAAGCTCCCTGGAAGAAGGGAGAAAAGAGGCAGACGTAAAGGTCCTTTTTCCTTTTGAAGTTTGTTTGCTCGGCTCGGCGGCCACACCCGCTTCCATGAGCTGAGACTTTTTGGTAACGTTGGGAGTTGGGAAAGGGTTTTTAGTAGAAGAGGAATCCATGAGAGTTTTTAAGGGGATTCAACTCCGGGGCTTCCCGCCCGCCATCGAGCTCAACAAGGGGACACATTGCTCGGATGACCAGAGCTGTGCCAGGGCTATCCCAGAGCTATACTCTTCACGAGAAGACAAGACTCTTTTTTCCCTACATAAATATGGCTTACTTTCCTTTTATTAAGCAAATTCCTTCTATATCCATTTTTATGTTGTGTACATTTTAAAATATATTTTTACAAGAAAAGAGGAGAATTCACAAATTTTTCTGATTTGTCTGATAAAAATCTCAAAAATCTTATTGCTGACAGTCATATGTCGCTCTTGTTCTAGATTTCCTATACATTTTTTTTGGGACTATTTGATTTTAATACAGCTTCTAAACAACATAATACAACCTTTCATGATGAATACGATTCAGCCATTTTTTTCTTTTGTCCTGTCTAAGCACCAGAAGCTGACTGGTCCAGGGGTGAAAATACTCTACAGCACGGGCATGCTGCAAAACGCCACAGTCTCTCTTCATAGACAAACTCAAATATGTGACCAATGCACAATAAAATTGAAAAAACGAATTGGAAATTTATTTTATTATGTTTTGCTGTTTTGTTGTGGGTTTTTTAGATTCCATAAAACAAAACAATAAAAGTGAATAAATAAATTCTTAAAAATTAGTTTATTTTCTTATTTCGTACTCTGTTATACGATCATTCTTTCCCGTCTTACAATTAATAACCGTATAACGGTCACATAAAACTCTCGGGGGTCTTTTCCCTACATAAATATG